TAATATCAAAAATAATTACTATGCCTACAATATATATTGTTTTTTATTTTATAATGTATTCGTATATAATATGTTCCTATGACTATTTTTATATTGTGCAATCTACAAATATCACAGATAATTACTATATCTACATATTTATTTAAGGTTAATTGTTATTTTATTTTATAATATTATGTTCCTATGACTATAATTATTCTGTGCAATCTCAACATAATATCAAAAATAATTACTATGTCTACAATATTTATTGTTTTTTGTTTTATTATTTATTCATATATAATATGTTCCTGTGACTATTTTTATTAAGTTTTGTAATGTAAATTGATTGTAAAAATAAATTGATTAATTTACTAATTTGTGTTATGGTGATTTTTTTATATTTTTAATTTGAATAATGAAAAATGAAAATTTAATAAACATTTAGTATCGATAATGATAGTAATCGATAATAATATCGATTATATGCACTATCGATTATATGCACTATCGGTTTTTGTTGCAAAAGAGGTTCAATCGCTGCGCTAGTGTATATTTGTTTTCTATGGTCTTGACCTATATAATTATACAGAAGAGAGGTTACCTACTTTATCTCTTTTTACTTATTATTTGGTTTAGTATTGCACTTGCATAAAGTATGAGAAAAATCACAAATTATATAAATTTTGTGCTCGACAATGAATAAGTATTTTGATGGATCATATAACCCGAGATCGCGCAGAAAAGAAAACTCAAATACCAATATTATCATACACCACAACACGATTATTTTAGCACGTCATCCGAAAAGCAACTCTCGATTCAAGTTCCTCCCCATCACCGTCTTATAGAATACAATAAAAGCTACTTCATTTTCGTTTTTTTTTTTTTACAAATGGGCGATGGTCCGTCACTTCGCGTTGTTATCGCATCTCTTTAGAGTCAATGAGGTTAGGTTTATTTAGAAAAGGATGGAGTTTTCAGAGAAGCAACTGTTGGTGGTCCAAAACTAGAATATAAGAGAGGAGTCTCTTCACATTTGTCCCCTGCTATTAAGAAATCTTATTATTGAAATCATCTATTTATTTGTTATCTCTATGTAGATAATTTATACTTGTTTCTATATCCATTGGAAATTATTTATTTATTTATGGTTTTTATAATATTATTTATAAAATATTTATACGACCTTATAGGCTCAAGTAAAGCACATAATTTAAGTATACCTACTATACATTTTGATGATGTAGAAAGGACTAACGAGTTTATGTTAACAGTTCTAGTTGTATTACATAATAAATACATTTTAAAGAACTAAATTAAATATTACAATTTATAAAAATTAATAAAAAGAAAATTTAAATTGAACTATTGAAGTCAATAATACTTAATACCTAGTATACTTTACGTATAGTCGTATAGACATAATCAAAAGTAAATATTATAGAATCTTTTAAAGACAAACGGCATTTTGCACCAATTAGATCAACGTTGCTTAGTTTGTTATATTTTTGGGAGATATGATTGGGCTATAATCTCCAAATAAAGTACGGTTGGAGTTTATTAAGAATGTAGGATAATAACGAGATGGGACTTATTACGAGGTGTACGAGGACATGATATTATAATGTTTATTTAAACTTGTATTTATTTTAATCATGCCATAATCAAATATTATTATTATTGTAATTTGAGCTTTAACCGTTATTAGATAAACATTCACTTTACTCTACATCACAGTATACTCTTATTATTACTTATTTATTTACATATTATCTATATTTTTTTAATAATCTATATTAATCTACATTAATTTATAAAATTTTGATTGTTTGGAAAAAATTGAGATCATGTTAGTAGAAGTTATAACGAAATATATACTTGGGTGTTGTGGAGTACAAGCAGATCAGATAATTTTAATAAAAAAAGATAAGAATAAGGTACCGACGCGCATGAACTTATGTCTGTAAACAACAATTTAGTTGCACGTTGGCAAAGTTGTATACATCCAGCCCACGAGTTCAAAATATAAACATGATATACATTTTGTATACTGATTATACTAAACTATTGTGCCTTATGTTTATTATTAATTATTATTATATTGTGCTTCATACAGTACACAAACGTCAAATACTGATAATATCTGCATTACGGGTGGGGTTGCAGAAATGAGCCGTCATTTGTTAACATGGACATGAGCTAAAAGTTAGCTGTTGGGTTAAGTTAAGAAAGGTACATCTAACATTTAAAATTAAAAAATATTGTTTCCCAAACGTGTATCTAAATAATATAATGGATCTGAGAACTGCAGGAAATCGTAGGCGCGTAGCTATGTCACCATGGAGCCAGTCGGGATTTAAACATAATAATATTATGCGTATTGCGGATACTAAGCCGAGCTCAAAAATGTAATTAATTTTTTGTTTTGAATGGATTTATCAACATGTCGAAAATAATATAACACGGGGTGTTCATAGTTCATGACGGTTCGTGCAAAATTTATACCGTCAGACATCTGAGGTGATTATATTATCATCCGACGACCATACCTATTCGTGTCGTATGCCGGCAAGAAGAGATTATTGTAATGCAATTATTATAATATATAATAATATTGCGTCTAGGCCGAATGGGTCTTGCTGTGTTGTCCACAAAATATCACCCTTTGATGTGACGGCTTGAGCGTCCCTATCGTCTGTTTTCGAGAATGTTTCCGGACCAGACGTCGGTACAGTAGAAGACGGCCGCGACGACGAGTGCGCTGGCTGAGTCGGCGGGAGGGGGAGGGGCGAAATCAACCCTTCGCGTTGCCGCCGGCGTGTTGTTCAACCTTTGAAGTTACCACCCAAAAGTCCTGAGATTTTGAGGGCCGGTACGAATATTATTATATTATAACGCCCAGACGTCTGTATAAATAACATATTTTTTGACGTTTTTACTTTCAATAATAATTATGACGACAACACTGACGAATCCACATCGTGCAGACAATCACGCGATACGATTGTCAGCCGCGAACGGCCGTATAATTTATTTATCAGTCTATGCATGATGATCATAATGATATGTGTTTGGCTGTTTTGTATAATAAATAATAATCCAATATAACTACACCGTTATTCGTTATTACCTATAATATATATATATATAATATATATATATAGAACGGGTTCAGCTTTTATTGCGATGTATAAATATTACACCAACGATATTCGTGTACGTACGAGAAGGGGTGAGGGTGAGGGGATGTGGGTTAGGCATTGGCCATATTATAGTGATCGCATACAGATAACTTGCACGTTGTGAAATTGTTTATCTATATATTATAGTTTCTATCTTCTACCCGCAATCTATTTTGTGGAGGAGTATTTCCAATTTTAACACTGCAATATATGCGCGGCTTACGATTTACGGGGGTGTAAACATTTTGGTAGGTAACTTGTAGATTATAATATATTTATATAATGACTATATTGATTCGATATAACTACACCGTGTCTATTGTACGTGTATTATTTTTAATGTATGGAAATAATAGGACTGCCATAATCCTAACATATAGTAATATAATGATATAATATAATGTTACTTATTCGTAAAGGCTCAATCTCGTCAATTGCAATTTTAACTGTATTAATTATTGTTTATTGATTTAATAGTTCGAAAAACGTTATAATATATTATATCAATTATTGAATTCACAAAGTTAGTAAAGGACATCAGAAAGACAAGTGAAAAGTTTTCTTATTTTAGCTACTTACACGAATCAAAATATCATAAAATCTCGTTGCTAAAAATAATTATGAATATAATATAAATAATAAATATCTAGTGACCGATTTTTTACTGGAAAATGTATGATTAGATTTCATGATTCAATAATTTTAAGTGGTATATTATAAAATATAGCTGTTTAAGTTTATTAGCTTGTAATAAGTAATAACTTTAAAAACTAAAAATACTAATGCAATATAATTCTCAAACCAAAATATTGTTTCGTGTGACCTAATATGTTTTGGTACATCATTAGAGATATAATTCAGTTATATTCAGTTATTAACTGAATTGTTAATTTAAAAAATCGTTTCTTAGTTTCATATGGCAGTTGTAAGGTTTAAAATAGTAAATGTTTAAAATTAGTATTATATCGTACCATACTGTATTCAACAAACGTTTATAGTTGATATTATTATAATATTGAATATTTCGTTCGTTCTTTGTACTTATTATAGTAAAATAATTGAATATTTATTTTTATGATGCTATTAAAATTATTTCATAACACTTCTCGAGTAAAATTTGATACATTTCAGGTGTGAAACATTTTTATGACATCGAATTTAGTGAGAAATTACACGCAAAAAACATACTCACGTTTTTAATTGAATATTCTGAAGCCACATATTTTTTGTTCATGTCAGTGAACCAATACCTAGATAATTATTTTAAAAATGTAATGCAAAAAAATATTAATTATAACAACAATAATGGGGTAATAATAATGTACCACAATATAGTTTAGCGGTATGTCCTATCACTTGTCATCTATAAATTGGAAACGGTTATAAAGTTATGAACAAAAGAAAAATTAAAAATATTTTTTAAATATTTAGTCTTTTATATTATTCATACACATTGAATTGTTCAGTAAATTATCCTTCTTGGGAATTGAAAACAAAATATGTATGGGTAATGGGCTGACATTTAAAAATAAAATTTCTAAAACAAAAATGATAAAAATGTAATTTCCTTAACTAAGTAA